AATGAATTTTAAATGTTAAACTTTAGATATGTCAACCCAAATCAAACAAAACAAGTTGTCTTATTTTTGTAAATTATCTCACTTAAACATTATTAAAAGAAAACTATAAAAAAAATCTCCATTATCAAAGTGTCTAATCTTCTTGAAAGATGCTTGCTTGCTCTTTCTTATTTCGTTTAGAGACGGGTAAACACGGTACGCTATGGTCAATAGACTATGGTTAGTTTTCTCTTATTAAGTCCCTTTCCAAATCACTACTTCCAAATCAAAACTTCAAAATATTAAAACAAACATAAAAAATTCTAAAAAAAAACATAAAACTTTATTGATCGAACTACGTGGACTTTGATCCGGTTAACCCGGGTACGTAGACAACCGATAGGTTCGAGTCTAACCAACATAAAAAATCCTTTTTACGTCAATAGACGTGAAAATCGGTAACTTTAAATTCAAATTTACCCTAATCACATCGTCCTATGGGACTCAGAAATTTACATTTAATTTAAAAACAATTAAAGACTACAATTAAATACACAAAAAAATCACAATTAACATTACACTCAAACTCTAAAAAACTTATCGATTTACGTAGTACCCGTAATGGGGCGTTGTGGGGTGTGAATACACTTCCCCACACGTAACCGTACTCCCGAAACTAGAACAATCTAAAATTCGCAGACAAGAATTCTGGTTTTAACAAAAAAAAAAATTAAAGCCGCAAAAGAGTGTTCGGCCCACCCCAAAGCACGGTCGATGGCGACTCCAAACAAGATTCGCGAGCCTTCCCCGATTTTTCGAGGGCGATTGCGACAGTGGCGACTCCGCTGGGGAATCTTAGGAGAGTCAAACTACATTAATCGTCGATAAGCTTTTCTTACTTCTTATAATGGGTGTTATGTGTTTATTACATCAATTTGCGCTTTAAATTTGTGATGTATTTCAATTTTTTTTTTTTTTTTTTTGCATCCATGCATAAAGCTCTATTCCCGAGTTGTCCTTATAGCAAACAAGGAAGAAAGTAGTGTGACTCCTACAATAGTAGGGGAAATGCGAAAACTTCCCAAGCAGGTTGAACTCAAATCCGAGGATGATTTGGGGTATCATGCTAAAACTCGAAAGGGTTATAGTGTGGTACAACTTGGGAGCCTGATTCCTTAAGGTCCCCATCCATCATATAGTTTGCCTAGAAACTACCTAAGCCGCAACTTAATCCCAGAGCCTACCCCAAAAACACGACGTTATGCTGCCAAAAAATCCCATGGGCTGCCTAACTAGGTTGTTTTATTATTAATACAAATGTTACGTATTTATTGCTCGTTTCTTTCCTAAATGCTAAATGTTTATTGCTCATTTCTTTCATGTTCGTTATTTGAGAATTGTGCTGTAACATGAGTCTGTTTCTTTCTCATCATAAGTAAAAAACAATTTTCTCGAAACAATTAAAGAAATTTACAATGATCATAACACGCATGCATCACCATCATCATGCACTCTCATGCACTCTCATGTTATGATTCTCGCGCACAGTTAACTTGGAATCTATTATGTATGATGTTAGATGGATCAAATGGCGAGAAACCTAGCCGAACACAACATAGCTATCATCCCCAACTTCATGCCCGGACCTGCATGGGCAGATCCAATGATTGACAATATGATAAGGCTGCCGGTGGAGATCGCAATAGACATCATGTCAAGAACTCTTAAAGGGTATTCTGAGTCCTTTGTTGAAAGATCAAAAAAGGAATTAATCAACACCCATGGATACTGCTCCAGTGAAACACCTCGACTGGTATCCAGAGTTCATGTGTCTGAATTTGTTCTATATACCGTTAAATGAGTATCAAGAAATGTCAAAAGAAATTTATTGTATGCTGAGGCATATGGTGCGTTTGAATTACATAGGGTTTATCCTTCATAAACCCACACTAAGACGATGTCTTCAACAGTGGATTCTCTTTCCAAACAACATCAATCTCTTTGGAAGATGGCTCCTCGAACATGCCCAGATCGACAGATGGCTTGGGCTCGTGATGGATCCAAAGACTCTAAACTATATGGCCATTACGCTTCACATGAACAGAGAAATTCGGGTTGTCGAAGAGGGGTTTGAACTGGTGGAGACCCAATGGGCCGTACTGGAAGGGAGCTCGAATGAGAATCCGACAATCGAGCCATCTAGGGTGACCGAATACTGGATGATTCTGAAAGAAAAACTCCATGATTTGAATCACCTCTTGCCACATCAAGTTCCAGCATTGCTCATGTCCCCATAAGGTTATCACCATGATGGAAGAATCAAGGAGTGTTACTTACCAACACACGCCATGACAAACAACTTAATAGAACAAAATAATTATGGTCTAAGGCGAGTGGCAACAACTCATGCCTATTTAATCGAACAAGCTTTCGTTGAGGAAGTGCTCCTCACGGAGCTAGCGCTCCCACATCTGTGATAAGAGAAGAAGTCGTTGGGAGGTCGACCTGTGGAAGAAAGGTCGACACTTTGGAATTTTTTTTGCCCCAAGGCCTCTTCGTAGAAAGAAGCGTGCGGTCTTGATGCCTTTTCAATTTATTATAGTAATGGGGATGATGCCCGGGATAGAGTGGCTAGTGACGCCACCTTTGTATATATTCTGTAAATAACGGAAGTTTGCCCCAGTTGATTGAATAAAAAGTGTGATTTTTGTATCTGACGTTTATATGATTGATTCAATTTTAACTGTGAGCAACAATCATAACATTGCATACATGCATTTGCATTTGTTAAAAAGATAATATTGGCACTAACGGGTAATCTCATGATTAGGTTTTGTCACAAGATAAAAATTCATTTGTGAACCAACATTATTACAAAACGAGATATATCTGGTACCCCTCCTTGTCCAAAAGTATTGTCATAATACATCCTCCTTTCTACTACCATACCATATTATTACACACCGCCTACCCAAGTATTGTCCAGCCCTTATTAAATCCCGGTCACATAATTAAAACTATTACATATTGCTTACATAACATTGATCGTACGTCTTCAGCCGTTAAAAGTGAAATCGGCTATAGTACATAAGCTCTTGCTGGATCTTCTCGAGGGAAGTCTGGAGGTTGTGATCCGGGTTTTCCAATTGAGAAACTTGTTGCCTTACTTCTTCAACTTCAACCGATAGCACATGTGCTCTTCTTGTTCATCGGTGACTAGTCCCATGAGGCAATTGACTTTGGCAGTCTCATTGACTTTGGCAGTCTCATTGAGGTAATTGTTTTCTTATGCTTGCGCCATACTCTGCCACCCATACCCCTCTGCCTGGAGCGATTTCTTTTCCTCGATTAACTGGTTAACTTTCTGTTGAAGCCTTTCAATCTCTTGATGATACCTTTTTATAGCCAATTTCCGTCGACGACTCAGCTCTTCTAACTGGTTGACCCGTTCCCCGAGAGCGGTATTGGCTTCATGCTGTTCATTCATGATGACTCTCTGTTGACGGCGAGTGTTATCCAAACTTCTATTTTCTTTTTCAAAGTCTCATTGATGGTCTCGAGGTCTCTTATTTTACCACCCCTTCCATTCAGGTGCATCTCCATTTCATCATTTTCTCTTTGTAGCCTTCTTATTTCCATATCTTTTGCAAGCGTGCTTCCTTGTAAATGGATTCTAGGAGGTAATGCCGACTCATATGTCACCTTCCCCTTTCCTTTCATCGTCATGGTAAGAGCTCTTCCCCTGTTTTCGTTTCACATCGCATATTCTGGAGTCACAGATGAGTGAAGGTATGGGAATCTTCTATTGTATTCATCGCTCATTGAATGATCGATGAGCCTTGATTGCTTCCATAACTTGATAGCATATTTACTCTTTGTTTCCACATCCAGATCTGAGTAAGTGAAGTTCAACTCTCCCATCCCGCCGGTCATCGGAGTAAATTGAAGACAACCGACCTACCTTCACTCATCTGTGACTCCAGAATATGCAATGTGGAACGAAAACAGGGGAAGAGCTCTTACCATGACGATGAAAGGAAAGAGGAAGGTGACATATGAGTCGGCATTACCTCCTAAAATCCATTTACAAGGAAGCACGCTTGCAAAAGATATGGAAATAAGAAGGCTACAAAGAGAAAATGATGAAATGGAGATGCACCTGAATGGAAGGGGTGGTAAAATAAGAGACCTCGATACTATCAATGAGACTTTGAAAAAGAAAATAGAAAGTTTGGATAACACTCGCCGTCAACAGAGAGTCATCATGAATGAACAACATGAAGCCAATACCGCTCTCGGGGAACGGGTCAACCAGTTAGAAGAGCTGAGTCGTTGACGGGAATTGGCTATAAAAAGGTATCATCAAGAGATTGAAAGGCTTCAACAGAAAGTTAACCAGATAATCGATGAAAAGGAATCGCTTCAGGCAGAGGTGTATGGGTGGTAGAGTATGACGCAAGCATCAGAAAACAATTACCTCAATGAGACTGCCAAAGTCAATTGCCTCAAGGGACTAGTCACCGATGAACAAGAAGAGCACATGGGCTATCTGTTGAAGTTGAAGAAATAAGGCAACAAGTTTCTCAATTGGAAAACCCGGATCACAACCTCCAGACTTCCCTCGAGAAGATCCAGCAAGAGCTTATGTACTATAGTCGATTCCACTTTTAAAGGCTGAAGACGTATGATCAATGTAATGTAAGCAATATGTAATAGTTTTAATTATGTGACCGAGATGTAAGGGCTGGACAATACTTGGGTAGAAGGCGGTGTGTAATAATATGGTATGGTAGTAGAAAGGAGGATGTATTATGATAATACTTTTGGACAAGGAAGGGTACCGGACTGATTCCGTTTTGTAATAACGTTGGTTCCCAAATTGATTTTTATCTTGTGACAAAACCTAATCATGAGATTTCCCGTTGGTGCCAATATTATCTTTTTAACAAATGCAAATGCAAATGCATGTATGCAATGTTATGATTGTTGCGCACAGTTAAAATTGAATCAATCATATAGACGTCAGATACAAAAATCACATTTTTTATTCAATCAACTAGGACAAACTTCCGTTATTTACAGAATATATACAAAGGTGGCGTCACTAGCCACTCTATCCCAGACATCTTCCCCATTACTATAATAAATGGAAAAGTCATCAAGACCGCAAGCTTCTTTCTACGAAGAGGCCTTGGGTCAAAAAAATTTCCAAAAGTGTCGACCTTTCTTCCACAGGTCGACCTCCCAACGACTTCTTCTCTTCTCACAGATGTGGAAGCGCTGGCTCTGGGAGGAGCACTTCCTCAACGAAAGCTTGTTCGATTAAAAAGGCATGAGATGTTGCCACTCGCCTCAGACCATAATATTTTATTCTATTAAGTTGTTTGTCATGGCGAGTGTTGGTAAGTAACACTCCTTGATTCTTCCATCATAGTGATAACCTTCTTGGGACATGAGCACTGCTGGAACTTGATGTGGCAAGAGGTGATTCAGATCACGGAGTTTTTCTTTCAGAATCATCCAGTATCTGGTCACCCTAGATTGTTCGATTGTCGGATTCTCATTCGAGCTCCCTTCCAGTACGGCCCTTTGGGTCTCCACCAGTTCAAACCCCTCTTCGACCACCCAAATTTCTCTGTTCATGTGAAGCGTAATGGCCATATAGTTTAGAGTCTTTGGATCCATCACGAGCCCAAGCCATCCGCCGATCTGGGCATGTTCGAGGAGCCATCTTCCAAAGAGATTGATGTTGTTTGGAAAGAGAATCCATTGTTGAAGACATCGTCTTAGTGTGGGTTTATGAAGGATAAACCCTATGTAGTTCAAACGCACCATATGCCTCAGCATACAATAAATTTCTTTTGACATTTCTTGATACTCATTTCACGGTATATAGAACAAATTCAGACACATGAGCTCTGGATACCAGTCGAGGTATTCCACTAGAGCATTTTAGTATCCATGGGTGTTGATTAATTCCCTTTTTGATCTTTCAACAAAGGACTCAGAATACCCTTTAAGAGTTCTTGACATGATGTCTAGTGCGATCTCCACTGACAGCCTTCTCATATTGTCAATCATTGGATATGCCCATGCCGGTCCGGGCATGAAGTTGGGGATGATAGCTATGTTGTGTTCGACTAGGTTTCTCGCCATTTGATCCATCTAACATCATACATAATAGATTCCAAATTAACTGTACGCGACAATCATAACATGAGAATGCATGATGATGGTGATGAATGTGTGTTATGATCATTGTAAATTTTTTTAATTGTTTCGAGAAAATGGTTTTTTACTTATGATGAGAAAGAAACAGACTCATGTTACAGTCCACTTCTCAAATAACGAACAGGAAAGAAATGAGCAATAAACATTTAGCATTTAGGAAAGAAACGAGCAATAAATACGTCACATTTGTATTAATAATAAAACAACCTAGTTAGGCAGCCCTAGGGATTTTTCAACAGCATAACGGCGTGTTTTTGGGGTAGGCTCTGGGATTAAGTTGCGGCTTAGGTAGTTTCTAGGCAAACTTGTTGGATAGGGACCTTAAGGAATCAGGCTCCCAAGTTGTACCACACTATAACCCTTTCGAGTTTTAGCATGATACCCCAAATCATCCTCGGATTTGAGTTCAACCTGCTTGGGAAATTTTCGCATTTCCCCTACTATTGTAGTAGTCACACTACTTTCTTCCTTTTTTGCTATAAGGACAACTCGGGAATAGAGCTTTATGCATGGATGCAAAAAAAAAAATTTGAAACACATCACAAATTGATGTAATAAACACATAACACCCATTATAAGAAAGTAAGAAAAGCTTATCGACGATTAATGTAGTTTGACTCTCATAAGATTCCCCAGCGGAGTCGCCACTGTCGCAACCGCGCCTCCAGATTGGGGTACCCGTCGCGAACTGATCGGAGTCGCCATCTTTCTTATTTGTGGTTGATCGAACACCTTTTGGTCCGATCTCGACATTAGGGTCGAAACCGAGACCTAGTCTGCGAAATTTAGAGTTCTGGGTTCGAGAGTACGGTTACGCGTGGGGAAGTGTATTCACACCCCACAACGCCCAAAATTGGTACTACCTAAATCGGCCTTCTTAAGGATTGGATGTTTTATTATTTGCGCCTTACTCGCGTATTTGTTTATACTTTATAGGATTGGGTGTTCTCAATACGCGAATAAGGCGCAAAAAATAAAACCCCCGATCCTTAAGAAGGCTTATCGATTTAGGTAGTACCAATTTTGGGCGTTGTGGGGTGTGAATACACTTCCCCACACATAACCGTACTCCCGAACCCAGAACTCTAAATTTCGCAGACCAGGTCCCGGTTTCGACCCTAAGGTCGAGACCGGACCAAAAGGTGTTCGATCCACCACAAATAAGATAGATGACGACTCCGATCAGTTCACGACGGGTACCCCGATCTGGAGGGGCGGTTGCAACACATTTCTCTGCTTTGGCAATGGTAAGAATCACCTGAGAAGCAGCCTGCAGGTTCTGGTCCATATGATAGCTTTGGAGGAATAAGAAGCCTACGCTTACCACCTGTGTGTGGCCTGTGACAGTACTGCTTTAGGCCATCTCTACAAGCTTTTGCAGACAACAAACATAAGGGTTCAAAACAACATTGTCCAATCTTCCATCTTTCATGATATTGGTTATCATTTACCTATGTGCATCGGAGGTACTCCACCACCACCGAAAATCCCCTGATCCAGACCCTTAATCACCTGTATACAAACGATAGTCACAATGAACAAACAAAGCACACTTGGATCAATACATCTTGTTGCTAGACCTCACATATTTTAGATTTCAGGCATAGCTTTGAATTCATCTTATACAAGACTAGTTTCTTTTGGATCAATGGGCACGAATCACTTAATAAAGCTTAAGCATCTTACTTCTGACCGCTGAAGTTTCACTAGCCTTAATAACCAGGTAATACAATGACCTGAGAAGCTGTAAGCCATAATGCTCTCACCTTACCAACGCCAATCCGCGTGGTCAGCGATCTAGCACGCTTGTAACTGCTATCGAAGACCGTCCCATCACCAAATCGAGCAGTGTAATGTATCTATAGGAACCCAAAAACAAAAACCAGCATATAAAGCCATCATCCACGAAAGATACAGGACATCCACCAAGTGTATGAGAAAATGACCCACTGAAAACCCCCACCAGCATTACGTCAAAACGACACTCCAAACACAAAAGTCAGGTTTACACATCCAGCTAAAAGAGTAAAACTACGAAAATTTGTTGAATACTCAACTCACATTGATCAACTCGGCATACGGCGCCTCTTCACCGGGACCTTCAGCGACATCACAGTAGCCGAGCCCAGATCGGACGAAGCTGAACTCGCACAGAGGCTCTCCCACGGTGGCGTAGTACTCGATGATCCTGGTGGCGTCGGCGTCCATCGGAGACAGAGCAGAATCGAAGCCGACAATAGCTCGATGCCCACGTCAACTATGCGATTCTTCCGCTTGGGAACAGAGTTTAAAGAGCGGTTACTATTGCCATTTCTGCAAATTGGGGTTGCGAAGAGGAGAAGCGAGAACACGAGCAAGTGGGTTTTGAAATGGAGGGAGGGGTTTGAGCGCGGCAGAGCGATTTGGGGCCTGTGATGGCGGAAGCAGAGAGCGCCATTTTTGTTTAATCGAGCTACTGAGACTGAAGCGACAAGCGAGTGAGTGGCTATGAAAAGTAGTTAATGCCCATGGGAAGCAAGTTTTGAGGAATTGGAACCGTTGGAACTTGGAAGTGGATAAGATCATAAGAACGTCTGCGTTTTAACATTTTGGTTTGGGCTTCTGCTATCATTCGTTGGCCTAAACCGGTTCCTTCGCTCTTTCTTATTGGGCCTAGGTCAGGCTTGGATCACAAAGATGGGCCCAACTTGTTTGGGGTGAGTGCAGCCTGCAGAGATATTCCCATAGCTCATAAGCAATGGAAAGTTTTCAAGAAACGATGTATTTTGCAACTGATTATGGTTAGAATTCATGGAATATATTATAAAAATGTATGGTAATTGAAGATTCTGAAGAATTTTGGAACTTTTGAGTGTGTGCAAAAGAGTATTAGGAAATGTGAAGTAATTATGATTGATCCCGATAACGTGATTCTTAATTATATCAAATTTATAAGAGAAAAAAAATCGTATATGTAAAAAAGTATGTTACAGGAATTAATGAGCATAAATATAATATTAGTACTTTCCAAACATGTAAAGATTCAACGATGTGGAATGACAAACAATCTTAAAACACATAGATTTGTATGAGTTTTCCGCACGACGTAAACAAGATTCCTCCATTGAGAATTCATGATACTTTATTACTTTTCTATTAAATAGTTGCAGCTAATACATGGATTTTAAAACCCTATATGTTATCCAAATAGGGCTTGCCATTCTCCTCAACAAAACAACCCTTTATATGTGATTTGGTTAATTTGATTTAGATAATTGGTTTGGTCCTAGATTTCAATAATTAAAGTAGTAAATTTGACCAATTATTCTATGTATTTTGAAATTTATTAAATCATCGAGATTCTAATATATTATCACTTAGGTTGTGTTTTTTTTTTTTTTGCTTCATTTAACTACATTACTACAACTCCATTTATTAGAACTTAGAATATATTTAAATTTAAACTCAATGTGTAATATCGAGTACTAGTTAGTTCAAGATTTAGTACGAAAAAAATTCAAACTCCTAATTCGAAATTGATAGAGAAGGGGTTAACACCTCCAACAATTTCACTAGAAAGTTTTTTGCTTTCACCTTTTTCCTTTACAAACAAACTAATATCCACTCTTCAAGGTCGAGGAATCAACAACTTTAATAACGACCCCTTCCTTCCCGCCTTTCATCTCACTCTTCCCCTCTTTTTCTCAATCCAACCATTTGTCTCCTCCCTCGTTTCTCGCCATTCCCCTTTTCTGACCCCAACACCCTCCACCATTGGCGATCACGGACTCAAACAAACATACAAATTTTAAAAACCTTTCGGCGAATTGAGAAGAGAGCAAACTCAAATTAAAGAAACCATAAATGGGTCGTGTAAAGCTTCAGATCAAGAGGATAGAGAACATCACGAATCGGCAAGTCACGTTCTCCAAAAGACGAAATGGCCTCATCAAGAAAGCTTACGAGCTCGCCATTTTGTGTGACATCGACATCGCTCTCATCATGTTCTCCCCTTCCGGCCGCCTCAGCCATTTCTCCGGCAAGCGAAGGTTTGTTGATCGTCATGAAATCTCTTAGTTATTTTATTTTATTTTGTCACGTCTTAACCATTTCGTAACAAATCATTCAAACGTTATCTGTAGAATTGAAGATGTGGTCGCTCGCTACATAAACCTCCCGGACCATGATCGAGAATGGTAACATCTGCAATTTTTCTAACCTGTTTTTATTTTATTTTCCTATATTGAGAAGGAGCAGCTAATTACTTCTCTATTTACCAATTTCATTTCCATACGCAGTGACTTGATGGATCGCGAGGTAAGCCATGCACAAAAAATTAAAATAGTAATTCCTTTTTGCGGAAAAAAACAAAAATCTGAATTTTCTTTGTAATAAGTATTGTAAATGGGTTTTGATTATTACTAAAATTCCCATGTATGTATCCATAACAGCATTTGCTCAAAATTCTGAAGAAGCTCAGGACTGACAATGACATTGCCCTTCAAGCAACCAAGTACGTAGATGAATTGCATGCAGTTAAAATCGTAGTTGAATCGTTTAAACGTGCATTACTTTTTCCAATAAACAACTCCGTGGAAAGAAATTTTATGATTTCTTTATTTTTTTATTTATTTTTCCTCTCTAATCATATCTCATGGCAAATCTGCAGCCCGGAGGCTACAAACTCAAACATTGAGGTAAACCAGATGAAAATTTATTATTTAATTAATTTAAATAGATGATTTTATGAAAATATTGGGATGGAATAAGACACTAAAAATATGGGATGTTTTTATTTTACTTATTTTTTGTAAATAATAGGAGCTACAGCAAGAGGTTTGCAACTTGCAACACCAGCTTCAAGCTGCAGAGGACGAATTGAACCTATATGAGCCAGACCCTACAAAGTTCTCGTCGATTGGAGAGCTGGAGTCATGCGAGAAGAACCTCTTGGATAAAATGGCCCTTTTAGAGGAGCGCAAGGTATATGCATAACATGAATGAGATTCAAAACAATGGAAGATCGATTGTTATCTAATAGTTGAATATGATGTGTTTCGTTTGTTGCAGAAGTACCTACTGAGCAACAATGTCTCCACATACGACCCTACAAGCATGCATATCTACTTAGATGCGCAAGAGGGTCTACCAAATTTCGACAACGACCTCGCGAATTGGTTGCCTGATCACAATGGTGGACACAACCAGCAAAACTCTGTTCATCATGTAGTCTCAGAGTCATCCTGCATTCCTGTCAGGTTGATAACAAAGAAAATTAGAAAAAAACTCCACTTTTATCTTTCAACTTTGCCTTGGGCTTATCCTAATGCAATAAGGATTGAACATTTTGGATGTTTGGCCAGCAACCAGTCGTCCACCTCAATATTTGAAGCACTGTCACAGGGCAATGCAAATGTCGGGGATCCTTGTAACAACATGGGAGGTGGAGGGAATCATATGAACAACAACCACAACAATAGTAATAATAATGACAACAATGAGAGCATCTCATCATGGCAACAAGCTTTCTCATCAATTTCGCCGACAGAGCTTCTTGCTGGGTTCTTGCCCCCTACTTCTTTTGCTCCCACCATTAAGGTTCCCTCTGCCCCCTCTTTCTTCGTTGTCTAGTGTTCTAAGGTACATTCTTCTAAATTTAGTTATGATGTTTAATGAGTAGCAGCAAGAGGTGGAAGGGCCAAGCTACACATTAATGTTGCATCAACAACAAGCTCATAAGGCTCAATCAAACTGCCTACAACAGCAACAACAAATGCAATCATCGAACGGTGGGGATGGGTTGGATTATCATGATCACAAGCTTATCCCACAACTTCAGGTTGATTGAATGATTGATTGACCATGTCTTGTGTTCTAAGGTAAATTATTCTAAATTTAGTTATGGTGTTTAATGAGTAGCAGCAAGAGGTGGAAGGACCAAGCTACACATCAATGTTGCATCAACAACAAGCTCAGGAGGCTCAATCAAAATGCCCACAACAGCAACAACAAATGCAATCATCGAACGGTGGAGATGGGTTGGATTATCATGATCACAAGCTTATCCCACAGCTTCAGGTTGATTGAATGATTGATTGCCCATTTCTATTTTTGCGACAAATGTTTGATTTATAGTGTTAAGATTTGTTGAATTTAGAAGGCTTCCCTTCTTCATTCCCACCTCCATTCACCATTTTTTCCAGTTTTCCTTCTCCTTTATTTTCTTCACTTTTGTAAATGAAGAAGCATTCAGTTGCTTGAGTTACAAAAAACTATGAAGAGCATGATTTGAATATTTGATTTTCTGATAGAGATGTCACATTCACATAAACTTTGTCATATTATCATACCAATATCATCCAAGTTGAGATTCTCATCCATAAGGGATCCATCCAGTCCAATGACAATGAGTCATCCTCCTTTTCCTGGTGGTTGATTGTACTGCAGAATCCTTCCTTTCCCCACCTCGACCTATTTAATCAAAACTCACATCATATTGAATTTTCAGCATGCTCTTTTCACAATTCTGATCAATTTGGTTCCACTAGAGACATAAGGGTGTAAGACTAAAATGATCGGATTACCTCAAAGAGAATGAAACTATGAGGAGTTGAACATTTTGGTAATTCTAAAACATCACTAAAACATTGAGCGCAGACAATTAATCTAGTTCTTCCACTCATGTTCTTCTCTTGGAAAAGAGTTCTATTTTCATTACAATCTGACAAGGAATAGTATAGTATTCAAGCAAAAATGTTAACATTGTAACCTACCATGGGATTCACGAAGTTAATGAAGCTCAATTCCCCAAATTGTCTAGTACATTTTCTATTGATAATCAAATTGATTAAGGATTTGGGAAGAATTGGGGATAGAATTAGGAATTTGAGATAACATCTTAGAGTAGAAGAAAGAGAGATGGAGGGTTTGGTCGACTCTTGGACTCGACGAAGAGAGGGAAAAGAGAGGGAGATGAGGCTTAGCTAGATAGAGGTATTAGGGAACTATACTTCTTATTATGCTTACCTACTCTCTATAACATAGTTACAAAATATAAAATTCAACACATTTCCTTAAAGTACCAGTTACTCACCCTTAATACGAAAATACCAAACATCACCACAAAACTTCCCTTAAAGTACAAAGATAATACAATAATAACCAAAATACCACTAAACATAAGTAATTGTTCAAATATAAAAATGGATGAAACTAGGATGGGTCAGGTTTCCATCATACCCTCCCCCTTGAGAGCAACATTGCCCTCAAGGATGAACTGCATCCCCCTGGTTTTCTTTTCCTTCATTGACTGCCATAAGGTGAGGATCGGCACACTAGTTTTTCACCTTGTATCTCTCGCTACAATTGAAGGAACCTTCTTCTTTGCGCTTCTGGTCTATATTCGTCGATGTCAGCCTCACAAACCCCCCATGACATTTGGTAAGGGCCTAGTTGTGCAACCACATGTGCTATGACCCCTAATGTTTGCGATGCGGCTATCAAGGCGCCATTGCTCCTCCACCCAAACCTTTTGATGCCTTATGGAAGCACCATGTACTTCCCTTTCAACGTGCCAACTCCTCTTTCTTCTGACTTGCAAATTTGAAAGTCACGTGTAGTGACTTGTGGTCAAACACATTCACTGTTGCAAGTAACTCTGATCGTAGCCCCACCACACACAACCCCACTAATGTATCTTCTGGAATGCCCTTGAACATGTTTTTAGCTTCGTAAACTCCTACTAATACCCAAAAATCGTGCCAATCTATCTTAGCTTGGCCAACTGCTCTCGCACCCAACCCTCTGCTTTGCCAAATTATAACTTAATTTCCTCCTTAAATCTTGGCCAAGTGATTAGTAACTCAACATCGGTATAAGTCCCATCCACCCCCACCATTATAGGGTATCACCCTCCATATAGAAGGACGATAGATGCACATTCCTCTCTCATAGTCACATGATTGTGGAACCACATGTTGGCAACATACAACCACAATCTTGCGTTCTACTGACCATTAAATTTATAGAACTTAATGGTAGGAGACTTGGCCCTAAAGTCATATCATCATCACCATCACAAGTGGGGTTATAACCATGACACCTATCGATGTTGCTACCGCCATGGCAACCATTACCATTGTAGCCCTGCTCATGATTTTGTCTGGGAGGCTCTAGGAAGTCCCATGCATCATGTTCCTCTGTCTAGTGTCATCCTTGACTTCTCAACCAAGACTTTGAGCCTTGTTCCATTTTCATACCTCGTCTTAGGCGATGCTCATCAGACCGGGGAGTCATCTTAGGAGAAAAGACTGAATCTGCAGCTCTTTCAAACCCATTACCGCCTCCTAGACGTCCCCCCATTCCCATTGCTTTCCATGTAGGTCGGAGCAAACCTATTCGTTTCAGTCATGGTCCCGTTTGTTTCGGTCATGGTCCGATATGTTTGGTTTGACTCAAATCAAATGCTTCTAGCCCGACTCGGGTAGGCGGCCGAACCTATTCTCCTCTCGGTGGGCTCAAATTGTCCCATGTCCCACCTTTGGCAGTTAGGCGCAACTGATCCTCTTTCATCTGACGGTTTATGCCAACTCGGGCCAATCTACATCCATCTCATGCTTGTTCCCGCTCATCACCATTGGTCTTCAGGCCCACCAATCTAAGATCATCTTCAAAGGCCAACTATTCATATCTCACCATTTTGGACTTTTGGTGAATTGCACCAATGTCCCGAGCGGACGAAGTGGGCAACATGCCTGCCCCAATATTCAGGGCCCCATTAGTTGGCCCACACGGTTCGGCCTAAGGGCTGCAGGGTCGGTTCCATTGCCATGCTCTGTTCCACCATCGCCGTTGCCGCGACGAATACCAGTATGGGCGCCACTGCCGAGGGCACCAGAGTCGAGGAAGTTTCCTCCGACACGAGAGACTCGAGCAAACCAAGTGCGTCTTTTGCTTGGCCTGTCCTGTCATGCTCATGTTTCTTTGATACTTATGCGCATGTTGCTTGAATTTCAATCATTGGATTGTTGATAGCTCTACCATCAATTCATAATCTAATTATCGTCAAAGCGACACAAATATTTCATTGTCTCAATCTCATTATATCGATAAGGCACTTGTTAAGTTTCATTGCGAAAATTATTGTGAGTTAAAACACAGATGGATTGGTATGGTAGCTGATGAAAATTTTTCAGGGGATGTGCTGCTATAATGTATATTGAGTAATTAACAGCAAAACCTCATTCCCCTTTTCTCTTTTTTTATTTATTTTATTTCTCATCCTTGTATTCTAATTTTCCACCCTCTTTCCCATATCATTTATTTAGTTGTCAGCTTCATAAACACCTCTTGTAGTTTCCATCTGTTCCTCTTTATTTGAACCTAAAATCTTCACCTTCATCGAAAAAATGTGTTATGTATGTTTGGCGAGTACATGAAAATTAAATTGACCTTTATTTGAACAGTAGAGGACCAAATTTTTTTTTTTTTTTTAAATCAAACCATTCTCTTGTGCATTCATGTGAAGTAATTTTTTTTAGTGTTACGCCTTTTTGTGTATAAGAATTGTTACAGGGCGCCGAGAGCGGATGATTTCAGTTTTCATAGGAAGGAAAAAATCGAAAGGCGACCACAGTAGACGCGCAAGGCAATCCCACAGGTGATAAGTAAACCAAAAGAGGATCTAAGCCATCCAATCACTCCATCACTGTGAACCAACGGAGGGGATTCAACTTTCGGATCCAATTTCAATCTTCCCGCCAAAGCTAACTGAAACAAGAGCGTGTAGAACATTCCGTCCTCTCACAGCTTTCCTCACGCTTCCGCATCTCTCGCTCCCTGCACATTACCCGACGCCACGCTCCTTCACGCGCCTCCTTCCGTTAACCGCCTGGCCTCGCCTATAAATACCCGAGTTCAGAGCGATCATCCCCTTCAGTCGCTCACTCACCATTTCTGCAATTCCTTCACCCGAACGCTCTCGTTTCTCTCTCATCCTTTCCCTCTCTGTTTAGCTCCAAACTCGCTCCCATGGCGACTTCTCACTCGGTCGCCGTCACTTTTGCGATCCTGATCCTCTCGCTCTGCACCTCGCGAGCTGCTTCCGCCGTCGGCTTCGACCAGTCGGCGATCTCCCCGTCGGTTTCCGCTACCGCAGCAGCGGCCTCGTCTGCGAACACTCTGTTCCAGCCGTTTCCGCCGATCCAGTCTCCGTTCCCGTCGGCCGCTCAGTCGACGCCGATTCCACAGCCTCAGCAGCAGCAGTCGGCCGTCTCTGGTCGCGATTCCGCAGCCGATCACTCCTTCATCCACACCGCTCTCCTGGCTCCGATCCTCGCTCACCTCGGCTACAACGAGCTAGCCATGGCGGTTCCGACTCTCTCCTCCGAGTCCACCGCCACCGCGTGGTCCGGGCCTTCGACTCTGTTCGCTCCTTCCGACGCCTCTCTCCACTCCTGCTACTCCTGCTCCGTTCCCAGCCTCCTCCGCGAGCACATCGTCCCCGGCCTCTTCACCATGGACTACCTCCGCAAGCTCGCCTTCGGCACTAAGGTCGAGACTCTCACACCCGGCAAATGCATCACCGTCACCTCGAGCTCCGCCAAGAATTTCACCGCCGGCCCCCCCTCCGCCGCCAAGATCTTCATCGGCGGCGTCGAGATCACTCGTCCCGATCTGTTCAACAACGGATTCCTCGTGATTCACGGAATCCAAGGCTACATCGCGCCTCTCTCCCCGTTCTCCTGTGACGTCGAGCGTCTCAATTCGCTCACGTTCCCGTTCCAGCAGCCAGATCGCGTCCCCGTTCCCGGAGGACCGAACCAGATCTCTCCGCCGCTCGTCCAGCCCGCGGTCATGCGATTGATGATGCGAGACGCGATTCTCCGCCTCCGCAACAACGGATTCAGCATCCTTGCTCTGGCGATGCGAGTGAAATACCCCGAGCTGATTGCGCTGAGCAACATGACGATCTTCGCGCTCGACGATTTCTCCATCTTCTCCGGATCGTACTCCTACATCAGCAGCGTGAGGTTTCACATCGTTCCGAACCAGCTGTTGACCATCGCTGACCTGGAGCGGCTCCCCGTCGGATGCACTCTGCCGACTCTGGAGAGCGGCCAGTCTCTGGTGGTTACCACAGCGGCCTCCGCCGCTTCTTCTACCGGTGGTGTTACGACTCAGCAGGCAGCGCCGATGAGGATTAACTACGTCAGGATCAAACTGCCGGACGTGATGCGGAACTTGAAGATTGCTGTGCACGGGATCTACCTTCCGTTCCCGAGGATCTACCAGTCTACTACTCCAGCTGCCGGCGCTACTCAGAGTTTCGACCATGGAGTGTGGGGATCAGGCACGGTGGAGAACACTCAGGCTGACTCTGCTTCTGCATCCTCCGACTGTGCTGCTAAGTCAGAGAAGGACGGAAGCTGCGCTATGGTGCCTGTCCCCCCGGTGAAGGCGACGCTCGAGGTGGAAGACAATCACTATGGCCTGTGAATGGAGCCTTAGGTGAACGATTCGTTTGCCTCTCTATCATCAATTTTGCGATTCGGATTTTCGATTTCCTGTTCGTTCAGTTTTTTTCTCTGTAATTCGGCTGTGGAATGTTCGTTTGGGAATCGGGAGGAGTAGCGAGTTCAGTATCTCATCCGACTCAGCTGCTGCTACCTGGTGAGTTAGCCGTACGAGTTCTGTACGTAGGCCAGCCGCAGGGGACGACACGTGTGGGCAAACTATCTTTTGTCAGCCCTTCTTTGAATTGAATAAAACTTCCCCTTTTCTGTTATCTGCTGCTCTCGTTCTCTGTTGCTTGCAAGTTCAGACTATTTGTTTCCTGCCAATATTCTATTAGCTTTCATCTGCGTTCGTAATTTCCAAGTAGTGATTCGTGAACACGTAGCGGTTCTCTTTCATCGCTTCATCTCTAACGAAATCCAGTGCCGGTGGGCTGGGTGATTCCTGGAAAGCTTTGGTTTGTGAGAAATGGTGAGTGGTGACCGTTATTATCAAATTTAGAAGCGGGTCCGCTGTTGAGCCAGCCCGTTAGGATTTCTCTGTTGGGCCAAATCGAGCTTGCCTTGGGGCTTTTCTTCTTCGCAGTTAGTTCTTCTTCCTCTGATTTCGAACTGCCAAACAAGCCACGGTTGGGCCACGGCCTGTTAAGGATATCAGTAGACTTTTTTTTGAACAACATATCAGTAGACGCAATGAATGCATGCCCGCTAAATTCCTTACCAATTGCCATGGCGAAAGTAACAAAGAAGCTACCACCTGAAACCATTTGAAACGACACCAACAATTCAGTATTTCCAACTGGAACTTATTATAGAGGAACCTATTAGTTTACTTGCAATCCAAGAAGAGTTTACAAATTTCTGCAATCCATTGCAGAAGATGGTGAACAGCAGAAAGCTTGAAGAAGGTGTCCTGATGTTTGCAGAATAGGAAAACGCAGAGTTGCAGAACAAAAGAAGAAGAAAGAGCAATACAACAGCGTCTTAATTATTAGCCGTTTTATTTAGTTTTCGTCCTATTGTGTAGCGCCACGTGTAGGCCTACGTTTACTCTATTTTGAATTACCGTTTATGACGTTTTTACTGTGCTACTTTACTCAATACAAAAGGCAGTAGGTGGATCACTTTCCCCTCTGCGATTCCAGCTCCATTACATCGCCATTTTTCAATCTCTCTCTCTCTCTCTCTCTCTCTCTCTCTCTCTTCTTCTTCTACTGCTAACCCTAGCAGTTCTACAAACGTTTTATGGTATCAGAGCGGTTCTAGTCTGATTTTTCCGCATCAATGGCTCAAATGCCTCCACCTCGTTTTGGCACTTTCAATTTTGTTGGATCTGGTGTCTCTGGTGCTTCAGGAAACCAAGAAAACAACGAACAACAGCAAGCCATGAATCAACAACAACCTGTTAATAACAATCCTGGTCCGATGTTTGGTAGTCCATACTATATTAACCCAAGTGAGAATCTGGGTCAGTTGATTGTCTCAGAAGTTCTTGATGGAACTAATTACCAGGTCTGGCAACGTGCTGTCTGCATGGCTCTTAAGACCAAGCATAAACTTGGTTGTATTGATGGCTCTCTACCTATGCTAGAGAGAAACCATGCTGATTTTATCCTTTGGGATGCGCCTAATACAGTTGTTTTGTGCTGTCTTTTGAACTCTGTTCAAAAAGATATTAGTAGATCTGTGTTACAACATGATATTGCTCAGAATGTATGGGATGAACTGAAACGAAGGTTTGGGAAATCTAATGCTCCAAAGCTTGCTAATTTGCAAGATGATATGAATAGATGCAAGCAGGGTACTATGAATGTCACACTGACACAGTATTATATTGCCTTAAAGGGATTATGGGAAGAGTACTAGCAGTATGCACCTATTGTGGGTTGTGACTGTGTAGTGAACATGATTGGACCTTGTGCAACTGTTGAATCCTTTAAGGAGCGTCTCAACACTGAGTTTTTGATTAAATTCCTTCATGGGTTAAGGCCCGAGTATGAACTGGTGCACAATCAACTACTAATGATGAAACCCCTACCCACTATTGATGCTGCTCTTGATGATGTACTCCAACATGAGAAAAATCTGAAGGGAGACAAAGGAGGTAGTGCCAGAGGGGTTCAGTCTGTTGCTCTTGTAGTTCCAAGAGACAAAGAAAGGGTGTTTGGTGTTGGCAATCAGAACAAGGATAACAGACCTGAGTATGATGGAGACAAGAAGTTTTGCAGATACTACAAAAAGGATGGTCATGTTAAAGAAGAATGCTACAAGCTGAAGAATAAGAAGGTAAGAATGAATGAAGGAGGTCCTGCATTTGCTGGTTCAGTCTCACAATCACCATCCTAGAGCAGTGATTCTGGTTCTTCAGCCAGTGGTATTTTCTTGGAGAATTCCCAGTCCTCCAACTCTCTTAGCTTTACTAATGATGAGCTTGTTAAGCTCAAGTTTCTTCTCCAGCACTCTGATAGCATGAGTCCTTCTCCACCTCTTTCACCATCAATCAAGCATGCAACATACTCAGTTTCTCAGCATTTGCCATCAATGCCTAATTTTTCTGGTAAATTAATTTGTTCTTACATCCCATCTAGAACAAGGTCTTTTAGCTTTGGCACAGAACTGGATATTGGATACTGGTGCTGGTGCATCTGACCATATTGCTTGCACATTATCTTCCTTCCTTAAGGCCAGTCCTGTCTTAGACCAATTTGTCTATTTATACATTGGCTTAAAGGTCCCAGTTAGTCACACAAGATCAGTGAAGCTTTTTTCCAACCTTGTCTTACACAATTTCTTGCTTGTTCCTTCCTTCACCTTTAACCTAGTCTCTGTCAGTAAACTTACAAATGACCTTCCCATTTCTTTGCACTTTGAATCTGACTCTTGTCATATTCAGGATCTCTTAACCAAGAAGCAAATTGGTTTGGCAAGACAGACTAGAGGACTCTATCAACTCCTTCATACAACAAGCTTTCCTCCTCTTCCTCAAGTAGCAGCCACCTACAATTTTCAACCTCATTCATTTCAGCTCTATCATTGGAGACTAGGCCATCCCAGTCAAGCTAGAGAAGATCAAATTCTTGGTTGTAATAGGAGTAATGTCATTACTGTTCTACTTGTCATTTGATTTGATCCATCTAGATATTTGGGATCTCTTGCTATGAAGTCTCATGATGGATTTTCTTACTTCCTTACCTTGGTTGATGATCCTTACCTTGGCTTATTTGATGAAGCATAATTCAAACGCTAGTGAACTTTCACAGCATTTCTGTGTGATGGTGCATAAACAGTTTGACACATCAGTTAAGGCCATTAGAAGTGGCCATGGCAGTGAGTTCCACATGCTGGAATTCTATGCAAATAATGGCATTGAGCACCAAACTTGTTGTGTAGAAACCCCTGAACAGAATGCACGTGTTGAAAGAAAACACCAGCATATCCTCAACATAGCCAGAACATTTTGTTTCCAATCCAATTTACCTCTCTCATTCTGGAGTGACTGCATTTCTCATGCAGTTTACTTAATCAACCGACTTCCATCACCAGTCACGGACAATTTTCCTCCTTTTGAACTTCTTTACCACAAACCTCCTTCACTTAGTCATCTTAAAGTATTTGGCTGTCTTTGTTATGTCTCAACTTTACTTCGAGATAGAACTACGTTTGATCCACGTGCTAGGCAATGCATTTTTCTTGGCTATCCACCTAGCACTAAAGGCTATAAACTCTTTGATTTGAATTCTCACCATCATTTTGTTTCACGAAATGTTGTCTTCTATGAACACATTTTATCATACAAACCTTCCTCTTCTTCCTCTCCTTCTGAACCTGATCCCATTGTTGTGCCTGATCCCATTTTTCCTACCACTCACCATTACCTCCTGATTCCTCTTCTTCTTCTTCTTCTTCTTCTTCTTCTTCTTCTTCTTCTTCTTCTTCTTCTTCTTCTTCTTCTTCTTCTTCTTCTCAGAATGCCCCCTTTCCTACTTCATCTCCCTCTCTGGACAATTCTGAACCTAATTCTAGCAATGAGTTGCTTGATATGGCTGGTGTGCATTCTGATGGGGAGGATGAGCCCGAATTGTGTGTTCAAGAAGAGATTGAGGAAGGCCAGGCACATGAATTAAGGAAATCTGATAGAGCTAAACAAATTCCATTCTGGCACAAAGACTATGTTTTTTTTGGAGATGTCAGTAAGCACTCTATGTAGCATGTTCTATCCTTTGATCAACTTCCCCAAACCCATAAGACATATGTTTTAAGTGTGATGAGTGTTTTTGATCCAAAAACTTATGAGGAAGCCTGTGAGGAGCTATGCTGGAGAAATGCCATGACTGCTGAGTCAGAAGCACTTGAAGCCAATCAAACATGGAATTGACTCGCTACAACACAACTCCTAACAAAGGCCAAGTGTAACCAACGAGAAGCCTCAATTTATAGTTCGGATCTGGCCGTGGAGTGTAGCATGGATCTGCAGAATGGCCTGTGAAGGCCGCCATGGCTAACTCCAGCTCCGATGGCCCTTATGGTTGTGGGAGAAATTCTTCTTGATAAGGAGGTTGTTCTTGATATGCACAGGGGTCTGATTGTTCTCCGTAGTAAGGGGGTTGGTACTGAAACCTGAATCCATAGTCTTCTCCTCCTTGATTGCTCCAGGAAGTCTCGAGATAATACCACTCGGATGGTGGTGGATACCCCCAATGGTTGGAGAAGCCATGAGGATCCATGATTCAGATCTGCACCAACAAAAACAAAAACAAAAACAAAAACAAAAACAAAAACAAAAACACCCAAGTGAAAAGCAAGGGTGGAAAAGAAAAGAAAAATACTAAAGTAACAAACTTCTGTCTTTCCTAATAATCTAGAAAGTCCCCGACAACGGCGCCAAAAACTGGACTCGCTATGACAGAACTCCTAACAAAGGCCAAGTGTAACCAATGAAAGGGACTACAGTATAGTGGCTCAAGTAATACATATCGAATCCACGTGTCTCTAGAGTTACTATTACTCAGCTTTAGTTCGTTATCTAGCAAACCAGATTAAGATGGAACTACTAAAACTACTCTAACGAACTACAGTTAAAGTTAATCTAATTACAGGTTGGGAACTCACTTAGGTATGATTCTCCCTAGCCACTAGCCAAATTAATAATTGATGATTTCTAGCATGTTTCACTTTCATTCACAATGTGGTGAATCCTTGACTAGACCTTGAATCTCGACTAAAGGATCAAGACCCTCTTGAGTCGATTGCCTAGAGGGACGTATCCTTCTCTAGAACAACCGATCAAGGCGTTCTGAACTAGACTTCCTCTATCGAATGAGGTTCTCAATCGATACAAAGCAGTGAATCGACCATTGACTAAAGCAATCGATCTAATATTATCAATCTATGGTGCTCTATTGACCTAATCAGGTTTCGCTATCATAGGTTCAAAGCAGAATCAATAATCTCGACTAAAGCAGAATTGAATCATGAAAACATGCATAAAATGAATATGAACTCAAGATTATCAAGTAGGAGTACTCATACAATCATACAATCAAACAAACATAGCTAGGGTTCCTCAAAACCTAAGTGAAGGGGTGTTACTCCATAGAGAAGAGAGAAACTGCAGAAGAATCTTCAGATGATCAGTCTTCAAGTCCGGGCTTGTTCTTCGAGCTTCCAAGGCGAAGAAATCCTCCAATTCCACTCCAAGATTGTCCTCAAATCGCCCTCTCTCTCTTTGTTTATTATTTTTCTTTGCCTGCAAGGGTTCCAACCTTTAATTTCCAGAAAACGTGGCTCCCACCTAGAAAAGGTTTTGAGGGAGCCTGGCTCTTACCGGCCATGCCAGGAGCGACTCTTATCGGCCATGCCGGGAGCAGATGTCTCAAGCCTCGTGCAGGGGAAAGAAATGTAAGGGGGATGGAGGTAGTAGGTGGAAGTTGGGAGCGGATTTCGGTTTCCCCTTACACACTTGCATCGATTTCCAGACGGGAGACATTGTTTTAAAAGCACAGTTTAGAGCACCTTTTTCAAAACATGATACAGGAGTCCATGACAGGTATAGAGTTCACGATACCACAAGATTCAAGTGTCCTAAGATCACCAATTCACACAATCAACCAACACAATATGAAGAAGAAGGGAGACTTCTTAAATGCATCAACATCCTCCATAGTGCTAAACTACCTCCCTAGGTTGCATATTACTATAAAGACTGTCAATTCAAAGCATACTGAGAAGGTAATTGCAAGGAACACATACTTGGAGCCCTCAAATTTAAAAATTTGGACAGTGGACTAGGCTCCAAGCACACACATACATCTAAACATTCACACGCATACATAATCGAACATCCCCCCACACTTAAGCACGACATTGTCCCCAATGGAGGAAAGATAAGGAGGGTAAAACTAAGTTACCATATCAAGGGTGAATGATGGTGATCGGGGCAGACGGTGCATTCCAGGAGGAGAGTGTAGTTGGAACACAAACACCGTACAAAATCTCACAAAGGTTGAGTTATTGACTCTAAAATCAAAGAACAAAACTAACTCAACCAAATCTAAATATCGTTCTTGATTAAATTAAAAGACCATTTCAGGTAATATACGTCTATTCTCCAGACTTGATGAATAAAAATACAATACCACTTATTTAATTCGATAACACTATCAACTTAGCTACAACACCCATTTGCTCATCAATGCATTTAGCAATTTCGAAACAAGTAAGAGCCTAGTTTAAGTCTTGATCTTGGATGTCTTCATTCACCTTCACGAAAAAAAATTCTTCACAATTGGGCGACTCGTACAGATGGCCTCCAATGGCTTCTCTCTAGGCATTGTTGCACCTTTACCTTCAGTCATGTCAACCTCCTCACTCACCCTTTCCCATTCAAAGCATTGAATCAATATCCCTAGTGTCAAGCCCATAAACCGATGGGCAAGGCCTACACCAGGACAAGACCTTCTACCCAACCCAAAAGGTATCATCTTATAACTTTCCTTCCCTTCATTCTCGTACCTTTCTGGTATGAAACTCGTGGGATCATCCCAAAGATTAGGGTCCCTATGAATAGCCCATGCATTAACCAATAATATAGTGTCGCGCGGCACGTGATACCCTCCGACCACACAATCCTCGGACGACGCATGAGGAACTAGAAGTGGACCAGCTGGATACAATCGAAGGGTCTCGACGATTATGTTCTGAAGGTAAGTAAGGTTGGAAATATCTGGCTCATCTATCAAGCGTTCTTGACCAATTTGCTTGTCGATTTCTTCTCTCGCTTTGAGTAATATGTTGGGGTGATTGAGAAGGTTTGCAAGTGCCCATTCCAAAGTCACTGATAAAGTATCGGTTCCTGCCAATAGCATGACCTGGGAACACCATAATTAAACATGTTTCCAAATAATCAGACATCATGTAAGAAAATAAAGACACATGTTTTGTACAGGTACATTGCTTAGACACGTAATTAGGTATCTGAAAGTGGTAATTAATAATTTTTAACGCGTAATAGCAATTCCAAGGTGTCTGGTGTGGCCTAATTAAGCGAAATGAATGAGCTAGCATTTTAGATTTCAACATGTGATCAGCCAATCGCAACAAGAATGATAAAAATGTCATTGGAATGGAGATGATATACTCAAAAATAATAATATAAAAAAAATTAGGGGAAAAGAAATACATGCTTGTCAATTTTAGTTACGAGTTGACAATATTGCCCATATATAGACTTAATTGGTTAAGAAAATAAAATAAGAGAACACAATTAAAATAACGAAGAGGAAAAGGAAATGGACCACTGGTTGAACTAATGGGTTCCACACATTGTAATTACGCTATAATAATCTTAAGAAGCGTTAAGTGCATTTCACACCAACGGCAAACATAAGCATTGGGTTAGTTAGGTGGATTTTGCCTTCAAATGGACCCACTCGATTAGTAACGAGTTGGTATTATTGTGACCCATTCACTCTTTTTTGAATTTGGACTGGATGAGTGGTGGATGGATGCAGTTGAGTTACATTTTAACTCGCGAAGGCAATTCTCAAATTAGTCATTAGATGAGTTGACTAACATTTATAACAAGTTAATTCATCGCAGATTAGGAATATTATATAGCAATTCAGGAGCCTCCCACTTTATTTCTTATCGATCTAACATGTACTTGTGACATGCAAAATTTTATATTTACTCCGATCAACTTTTCAAATGGTCATCTTTAATAAAATAGTCATTGAAAAAGAAAAGAAATCACTAACCACATATCTATAGAGACCACCACACCTCACATATATGGAATTCATTTCTTGGGAGAGGTTATCAATTATTTTGTTAATCCATCAACCAATTATAGAGAAAAATAATACTTTATTGTGACTCTTATACAGTTAATTGTTTGTAATTTGCATGTCAATATCTAATGAACAATAGACAACATAGAAATCAATATTAGTGCCCTAAATATCTGTATTTTCCGGTTTTAGAAGTTGATAGTTAAGTGTGTTGGGTGGTTAGGAAGTATGATAATCCTTCCATCATATGAAAAAGAACAAACTACTTATTATGTAAAAGTGGGTTACTGGTCATTCATGTGGCTCGCAATTCACCCACCCTCATAAATGCGAATACGGGATTTACCGACCCTCGATTCACCTATATGAATCACTAACCTAAAATATTTGAATTATTTACGATTGTATTGATATCAAACTTGGATCAACCACCCACCTTCCACCGCTTGCTATTGTGCCCACTATTATCAATTTGTCCTACCCGGACCCTGGACTCTGTGAGAAGGTAATCTGCAATTCTAGGTCAATCTAGAAATGCAGCAACAAAATATGTATCCATCCAACTACTACCTATAATAATGAAGCAAAAATATCCTAACTACATCCAACTAGTTTGGAATAAACTCAACCACATATCAGACCAAACTCCTAATAATTAAACTCTCTAGAGAATTCTATGTAAAGTGTTGGCCGCCTAGAGTGGCAGTATAAATAGATGCCATTGTCACAAATGTGAGATGTAGGGAGAGCAAGAGAGCAAAGGCATAGCTCCTCATCTCAAAAGGATTAAGGCAATAAACTAGCCTAATTCAAATGTGGGAGAATATGAGGGTTGAGTGTTTGTGAGGGTAGAAGCATAACAATAGTATAAGAGGCGTAACTCTTAATGTATAAGGCAAAAATTGTCTATTGTAATATTGTTATGTTAAAAATATTAGAGTGAAATAATTTCATCTGATATTCGATCCTAAACCCACTACATATTTTCACTGTGTCCAACATACTCTATTTAATTGACCCAATACAGTAGTTTTCTAAGAGTATCCATATTGGTATTGAATTTTCAATTGCAAATGACATGACATAGAGTTTTGCAATTGCTAACCCAATTGCATTGATGTGGCTAGTATTGCTTATTTGCAAGTTTGCAACAAATGGAATTGGATATGAAAGCCAAATTGGCCTAAAAAAGTGGGATTCTTTATTTTATTTTCCCTTTTATTTTAATTTTCATAATTTAAAAAATAAATATTTAATTACATATGCAATTGCATGTTGATTGAATTGATGCAGGTGCAATGATATTAATATGAGTTAGATTACAAAAATATTTAGGTGGCAAATAAAAACCTCATATGCAATTGGTTTTACAATCGCATTGATATGCATGCTCTAATAATGTTATTTAGGGCCCTCAAATACAATTGGTTTTGCAATCGCATTGATGTGCATGCTCTAATAATGTATTCAGGGCCCTCACTATGTATCTTTGACTTTGTGAGCTTTAATAAAAAAAATCATTTCATTTCACTGTTCCTATTGTAAATTATGCCCTAGCTTGTGTTGGTATATATGTTGATGTACAACCTTTCTCCGAGGTAACCTAATAAGAGAATCCTAGCATTCTGTGGATGTATGTCTCTCACACTGTGAGGCCGACTTTGGCGGGAGCAGTTCCTGTGCATAATTCTATGGTGAGTAACTATGAGTATTCCAATCAGAATTTGCCACATCAACAACTCTTATATCTCTTGGAAAGTCATTAATTTTCCCCCTTTAATCTTTAACGGATGATTTCTCACTCGTTTTAAGTAAGAATTTAAATTTTTTTTGTACAGTTAATTGTGCTCTTCAAAATGATATCCACTTTGATATATTTCTAGAACAAAAAAATTGGGCCATTTTTTACCAGTATATACTATATGGTATTGACTGGTATTAGATAAGAGCATACCATATGGTATGAAAAAGCTTACCATGGTGGTATGAACATACCAAGACTGTAGGATGATTGAATACATGATAGTAGGAGTATACTAACTGTCATTTACGACTTTCAACATTGTGTACCACAAGATACCACCCTTTACCAGGGTGGTATTGTGTGGTATTTTTGGTCATGTATTTTGTCCACCCAGAAATTTGTAGATCTAATAGATCATGATGAACTCGTTTATTTTGTGCAAAAAATTTTAAAAACGACTTAAAAATGAAGAAGATACCATATGATATGTAGTTGGTAACGAGAGACAATAATTTTTTTTTTCTCAAAAAATATTGAAAATGGATCTCATTTTGTAGAGCACAACGGACTCGTTCCATCTGTATAAAAAAAATTGAAATCCAAATGAAAACGAAGAAGATATGAGTCAATTAAAAAAACAAAGAAAAATAAAAATGTTTTAAATTTCCACTCTTAGATATAAATTTTTTGGGCTTATTTAAGTCTGATAGCTAATATTTGGTTACTCATTAGTTAATAACCAGAGGTTATTTGACCGTATCGTGGGTCGACTTTGACCGAGGTAACTTAGAAAGAGAATCCTACCATTCTACGGATGTACGGGGTCGTTTGGAAGTTGCGAAAGTTTTGTTGAGATTGTCATTATGCATGTATTGTTTACAATGCATTGTTTTTTTGTTTTTTTAGCAGAAACAATACATAGATTGTTTCTGTGATGTGACAGAAACTATCACTCATTTTGAGTGATTGTTATATCTCAACTTTTAGTTGTGATTGTTGAGATAGTTGAGTTGAAATTGTTTTGTCTCAGCTTTTAGCTGATGCGACATACACAATCACACATACCAAACGTTGTATTCTACAATGCATCAAATTCGACAATACATGTATAATATTATACATGTATTCTCAACAATACATCTATTTAACAATCGCAACTTCTCAACAATACATGTATAATATGTCTCTCACACTGTGAGGCCGAATCATGTTATTTTAATGCCGCGTTTACATTTTATCACACTGACCCAAACGAGTGGCTTGCCTTTAACGAAATAGAAAGGGAGGAAATGTATATAAATAAGTAGGTAGTGGGGTCCGTTAGATTCTTGCAATAATTGACGAAGACCATATACACATAAACGTGAACATGGTGTCTGAACTTTGAAGTAATCTTCTGCACTGCTTTTATGGTTTTAGTGGATCAGTGATTATATTTGCTTAAAATTATTGTTATGAGAACTCAACCAATCCGCTGGCTGAATAAGTAGAATTATCAAACCAATTATAATAACGTTTTCATTTACTTAAATAGTTAGTGATAGACCGAATGGTTTTTAACGATTTGACATAAAACTATATGAAATCACCCATATTTAACTGTTTTACTGTTTCACTATTTGAACCATTAAATAATTGAAGAAAGAACATACTTTAATATAAACTAAAAACCATCTAACTTCAATTACTAATTCTATTATTCCTGCTTCCTTTTCTTCATTTTTCAACGCACACCTCATTGTTCGGTTTATGTGGTCCACTTCCTACGAATTGACACCTTAATAAAAATTTCATGGTTTCTTTTGTGAGCTTGTTTGAATAATTTGTTATAACTTTTGGATGGGAGCTATGGATTTGAAATTGTTTATGTTTAGTGATAAAATCAGTTATATAATATATAGTATATATGTCTTCATGTTATTGCATGAACGGTTTTATTTTTATCAACGGTGAACCAACGATTCTGTAGCAACTAAAAATTGAACCACAAATCACTGACTTTTCAGGTTCAAACTCCCGCGATCCGGTTACGAAAAGATAATGAAGAAGCCGCTTATTACTTACCATGACAAGGCCTTTGATAATCTGGTCACTGTAGTACTCGGGCTCCGACTCCTGCATCGCAAGCAAGTGGTCAATCATGGTGTTCCTCCTACGCTCCTCAATCAACTTCTGCAAGAAGGAATCCGTCCTCCCAGCCAGCTCCCTCGCCGTCCTCTCCAACTTCCCGCCGTCGATCCACCTCAGCACCGCCCCGAAATCCGCTCGGTTGCTCGCACCGCCACGCGCCACCACCTCCTTGATCACCTCCCTAAAACCCCTGGCCTCCTCGTCGTCGCTGTAGAACCTCTTCCCGGCCACCATCCTCATCATCGTGTCGAACGTCAGCTCCTAGTGTTATTGAAAAATCAGAATTCGGCGGAAATTATTGTGTCTTATTACAAACAGGGTTTAAATAGTGTATAATGACAGATTCCTATAATCAGTGGTGTAACCAGAGTTTGAATGGATTGGGGTCCTTAAAATTTTTGAGTTAATTGGGATCCTTACGTAAGGTAGTATTGATAAAAGTATAGAGTCCTACACTTCAAAAATCATGCTAAAACGCATATATTAATAAAGTTTTCATACCCAATTTTTTTTTATCTAATAATAACCCTAAGACTAATACGAAAAATTATCTAATTTCTAGGACTATCATAATATGACAAATTACATAACAATACTCATAGTATAACATACTACTACTCGTACTTCACATAATCTACTTCACGTAATCTACTACCTGGAACGCCGACTTCATCTCCACCACCGCCGGGCCACCGTCGGTGCGGCGAGCGAGCTTGGCGACGAGGCGGCGGACCTCCTCGCGGCGGATGGGGAGGGAGGCGGCGAGGCGGTGGGCGGAGAAGATCTCGAGGGAGCCGATGCGGCGGAGGTTGCGCCAGTGGCCGCCGTAGGGGGCGTGGGTCATGGTGGTGTAGTTGTAGTGGATGTGGCGTGCCATGGTGAAGCGGGGGCGGTTGGCGAATGCGACGTCGTTTTTGGTGAAGCACTCCTCGGCTAAGGCGGCGGAGGAGACGACGACGGCGGGGCGGGTGCCGAGGCGGAGGGAGAAGATGGGGCCGTGGCGCTGGGCGAGCGCGTGGAGGGTGCGGTGGATTGGGGGCTTCATGAGGCTGGCGTGGCCGACGATTGGGAGCCCCCACGGTGGGCTGGGAGGGAGTTTCCGGCCGCCGCGGCGGCCGGCAGTTGTGGATCTGAGTGCTAGGTAGGTTAGGGAGAGGAAGAAGAGAGGGAGGAAGAGATAGTAAGAAATGGTGGGGGAAGAAGCTCCCTCCAGCAGGTCGATCATGGCTTATCCTTTGTGTTGGAAGTTGGAACTGAGGAAGCTGGCTAGTGAATCGAGCCTGCAGCTTTTATTCTGTTTGGTTCCAAGCTTTGGTCAAATATTGTACGAGTAAGTATTAATATATTTGTTTTTATCTTTTAGCAGTACCTCGAAAGTTATAATATGCATGAAAGTTGATTATTTTAAAGGCAAAATACATTTGTTTAGCTATAATTTTCACGTTTGTGACAAATATAGCCATAAATATTCGAAAATACGAAATAGCCAATAAAACTAGGGGTAGTGTGACAAATCTATCCAAATCCGTTAGAAACTTTAACGCCGTCTGTGACTCCGTTAAATCGTTTGACGGAACGCTGACGAGGACGGAATCCGAACTCCACATCAGCTACACTTCAGCAAAAATGTACACGTGGAATGCCACGTCAATAAAGCATTAAAAAAAGGTTAATTTCTCCTTCCTCTCTCCTCCTACCACCACCTGTTAGTCGCCGTCCTCCCTCCTTTCTCCTTCTCTGGTTTTGATTCTTCAGAGCAGCGACAAGGGGCTTGCTCTTTTCTTCTTCGTCTGACTCTGTATGCGGTGTGGATTCTCCTCGCCACCTACTGCGCCCTCGACCCATTCAAGCCCAACGCAATCTCCGAGTTCCCTGATTTCATCTCCCACCCAGTCGAGATGCCGCCGTGGTCGCTGGTTCCCACAGAGAAAGACGAGTTGAACTCGCTGCAGAAGTCGGAAATCAAGTTCCTGGGTCAGATTCAAGGCCCCGAGATCTTGACCTTCATTGATTTTGCTTACACTTCCAGCAATCGGTCAATCAGACTACAAATTCAAATTGGGGGTTTCCTAAATTCTTGGACACAAGGGACGGGTTACGGCGGGGAGGATTTAGATCCGCCGACTAGAGCTTGAGGAGACTCAGAAGGATGAGAAGGATGATGACGGCATACCTCCGAAGACCTGATTTGAAGCATAGCAAAGAGGGGGAGTAGCAGAACTCGACGTACGATGCTGGTCTAGCCTCAGATGTCTCCGTCGACGGCGCTGCTGCTGCCCTGGAGAAGAGAAGCGCAACTGGGATCTGATGGGTCCTGCTCCAACTCCTTCACGAAATCGATTGCGCCTCCTTCTGTCTTTCTTCGTCGACGTCGAGGAACCATCGGCGGCCGGTTTTGCGGCGTTTCTAGGCGCTTCTTCAATGTTAGTACCACTCCAGGGAAGAAGAGAAGCGCAGCTGGGAGTTTATGGGTTGACGGGAGAGTGAAATTTTTTATGCTTCCGTCGACTGAAAGGGTTTGGGAAGGTCTGCGAGTGGGAAGGGAAGGGAAGACGGAGGGATTGGGCTTTTATATTTTTTATATTTTACTTTTGATTTTTTGTGTTAAATTTTAATTTTAGTTGTTTTTTGTGTTAATCACGTAAGTTGGTGGGACCATAAATTGCCAACTCAGCAATTTCCGTCTGTACAGTCATATCGTCAACTAACACCGTTAACAAAATGGACGGAATTGGCTATTTTGTGTTTTCGGATAGTTATGGCTATATTTGTCACAAACGTAAAACTTATGGCTATACAAGTGTATTTTGCCTATTTTAAACATATCAACTACATAAAAGTGTATATGTATCTCATTTCATCACACCATTTAACAATACGTATCAAGTTCATTTTGTTACTTGTAGTATGTTTATGGGTTGCGTAATTGTCCTACGTTATAGTTACTTACTTTAGCTGTTAATATGCTTTTTAGGCACCACATTTTTCAGTTTGTTGTTATTAATTATACTTGACATTTTTTTTTCTCATTTCTTTTGCACGAGTGTTGATACCATCGTGTGTTTTTATACATTTTGAGAATGGTTTGTGTAGCTGCTTGCAAAGGAGAATATTTGCGTTTGTATTTTTAAATTTTAAATTTTGAAGAGAATCAATTTGGTATTTGGTATATATTGATAGTGAACAAAATATTTAGAGATTGAGATTGCGATACTAAAATTTATTTTGAGATTGAGATTGAGTTTATAACACTATTTGGTATTCGAAATCCAATATTTTGTACTGGGATACCAAAATCTATACTTATCTACTAGCTTTGAGCCCGACCAATTGGCCGGAATGTGATTTTTCTTTAAAATAATTTAGCTTTTACTTCACGACAATGTTATAACACACATGAAATTGTTGTGCATTACTATTATGATAGTAAAAACTAAACATTGATAGAATTTAATAACTTAGTAGAATAAAAAACTTGTCCCGTGAACTTTGGTAGTAAATGAGTACTTCATAGAGGTAGAATCAAATGATATTGATATAGTTTAGTAATTGTCCAAAGCGTGATTCATGAATATATGATTGTGACCATATTTTTAAAAAACATTTCAACATATATAAAAATAATATTGTTGTGTAGATCACATAAAATATGATTTTTTGACGCAAAAATATCTAAATTCGGAGTTCAAACGAAATGCATACGAATCAATCAAGAATAGTAAGAGGATTGAAAAAGAAGAGAGAGTGTGATAGGTGGCAAATTCTAATTGGATTACTGATAAACTTTAGAATAAAAAATTAAATAAAAAATTGCTTTTTTAATTTAAATCGTTAGATCTACAAAGAAAAAATAATAAATTAACATGAAAAAAAGGATCTATAAAAAAATATGATTGATGGGAGGGCTACTGACATGGATACGTAGGAAGACTGAAATTTTGAAATGGTGAAAAGTAAATGAAGAAAATGCTTATTATATTCTTTAGATTTTCACTCCTATAGTGTAGCAGTACACAATTTTTTATCCAAAACTTGCCTATGTGGATTTGAGTGCTAGGTCGGTTAGGGAGAGGAAAAAGAGAGGGAGGAAGCTAAGTGGTGTGACGTGTGAGACGAAGCACCTTGCAACTAGTAGATCATGACCATTCTTGGTTTTGTTTATGGTGATGGGAATTGTTGGTTTGTAATTTGTTGATTTGTTGATGGGGTTGGGGACAACTGTTTTTTTTTTTACAAAAGATAATCATATATTGATAGCAAAAATTGATAGTTACATCCTGGAAATAAGCCAGGTCCGAAAATCAAAGTGACGACTCATAGCCGGGTACAAAGAAATGGCCTTTCTAGCCACCAAGTGAGCTACCCTATTGTTACTCCGACCTACAAATCGAACAGCCAAACCAGCATGGGCATGAACATAGTACATTATCTCTTCAACCACAGCCCCCACCCTGTTATCTCTAGTATCTGCCTTGTTGACTTTATCAATAAGCACTTTAGCATCCCCCTCCAATCGGACGTCCGAGAAGCCGAGCTCAAGACACCACACGATAGCCTCCCTCAGAACCAGCAACTCCACAATCATAGGATCATCCATTGATTGGAACTGAACGCCCTTCACCAAAAGGATCGCCCTGTCTGGATTCAAAAGAACCATCCCACCAGCCGAATGTGACCCCCTTTTTGTGGCCCCATCTCACATACAAACCACCCTATTATCTCCAGCTGGATTCAAAGAGACCCTAGCAAGCATGACCGAAGTCAGTACTGGACCCGTGGACAGGCTAACCCACTCCTCATACTGTTGATGGAATTGACGCATCAAGGCTGGGATCCCGAACTGCTTACCCTCAAAGACAACCCAATTCCGAGAACGCCAAATCCACCACAGGATGGCTACCACAGCCATGGACAACGCCGGATTATGAACCAAAGCCAATAATCTCTTCAGAAATAACGGAAAGGTATGCCGAGGCAATCCTTCCCCTAGATACTCCATCCCCGAGTAACCCCAGAGGGCACGGGCCACAGGGCAATCAAGAAAGAGATGCTCCATAGTCTCCGCGCCTTCCCAGCAGACCGGGCATCTGGGGACAACTGTTTTGTAAATGGGATTTTGATAATAGGGAGTAGGGACGGCAGGTAGGAAAAATAAGGAGTATTTTTTTCTCTCCATATAATTATGTATGGTACATAATTTGCATAATAAGATCTGGATTCTTTTTTTTAATTGAAATTAAATTATTTTATTTTTCTTATTTTTTTAATTTGATTTTTTTTTGTCTAATATTGACTTCAATTTTTTTTTCACAGATAGAACGCGTTCATTGTGATCTACAAAATGAGATCTATTTTCAATATTTTTGAGGAAATTATTTCATATATCTCGTTATCAACTACATACCATATTCATATGGTACACTTTCATTTTTAAGTCATTTTTGAAAATAATTACAAGAAGGAACGATTCCATCCTAATCTATTGGATCCACAAATTTCAGAGAGAAACAAATACATGATAAAAAAAAAACCAGCCATACCTCCTTGGTATATGGATGGTAAACAATGTTGAATGTAGTAACGAACAAGGGATTGGTCTAGTGGTAATACCACTAGCCTAGAAATGGGAGATCACATGTTTGAATCCTTTAAGTAGTATCTTAATCACAAAAAATGAAATGCTCTTATTTAATATCAATCAATACAATATGTTACAGACTGGTACTAAATGTCTCAATATTATTTTTTTCAAAAAATATATCAAAGTGGATATCATTTTGAAGAACATAATATAATCTGATCTAAATGTGCAAAAAATTTAAACTCCAACTTGAAACGAGAGAGAAATCATCCTTTAAAAATGAAAAAAGGTTAGATGCCTTCCATAAGTGGCAGAAGTACTAATGTGGTGGCTAGTGATAGGGTTATGCACCGTTACACACCATAGAGCTAATGACCAGATCCGGACCCTTTTTTGAATACTTTTGATGTTGTGCCCCACACTCCCCACAAATACAACAATACATATACACACATATATATATATAGCCACTTAGAGTTCTCTAGATACATATATAACCGACGTAAAAGTTTTAATTGTAAAAATATCTTGCAACCAGACCAGGACATTCTCGCCCCGATACTGGGTGTAGGGGTGATAAGGGTTCAGGACAAATACTTGGACCTTCCTAATCTTATCACCTAGTAAAAAAGGGCGAATTTCTGGTTTCTGGAAGAGAAATTGCTTCAACAGCTGTAGTGATGAAAGTAGAAGACTTCATCATGGGCAATAAAGGACACATTTATCAAATGAGTTGCGTCCTCGCTTCCCCT